GAATAAGCGGAGGAGAGAGAAAGAGGACTAACATTGGTATGGAGCTCATAATAGAGCCACAGTTCCTCTTTCTTGATGAACCAACTACAGGGCTTGATGCATATACTGCTGAGTCTGTAGTCCAGCTATTGAAGCAGTAAGAAATGTACCTGTACATGTGTATGTCACTTAAGCTAAGTTTATATTTGACGAAATGGTCAAAAAGTGTGTGGGCGATCCGACCTTTTGATGCGAAAACGCTTTCAAGTTGACACAAAATTGGCTTAATTTTAATTTTTTATTCATTTGCATTACGTTTTATGACGAGTGTAAACCAGGCTTTAGTAATGAATTCAGTAATGATGATAGAATTCTTGACTATTTTTATTTAATTTAGTACTACTCATAAAATTCATTTTAAATGTGTAATAATTTCTCTTTTTATTTTTTTATTCGTGTAGCATATCTTCAGTCAATAATCGTGTTGTTGTACTCTCCATTCATCAGCCTCGCTACTCCATTTATAAACAATTTGATACACTGACCCTATTGTCACAAGGTGAGATGGTGTATCATGGAAGACGGTATGAAGTATTGGAACACTTTAACAGATTGGGTAAGCATAGAATCATTAGAATGACAGTATGATGTATGTAGAATGACTATTTGTTAATGATGATAAATACCGTACATGTACAGTCAAACCTGTCTATTCCGGACACCTTGGGACCAAATAAAACTGTCCTTATTATAGAGGTGTCCTTATTTCATAGGTTCATTAATACACATTTATATTGTATTGGGACTGATACTACCTGTCCTGATTATAGTGGCCTCCTTATTTTAGAGTGTCCACAATAGCAGGTTTCACTGTATAATGTATATGTGCTGTACGTAGTTGATGTGGGATTTGTTTTTAGGACAAACAATGAAAATTTAACGAATGTACATTAATACAGATTTTGATTTTGCCTTTTTCTTTTTTAATTTTACTTCTTTTTCCCCTTTCTTTCTCTCTCTTTCTCTGTCTGTATTTTTATCTTTATTTTTTTATATAGGCTATGCGTGTGAGGAACATGACAATCCTGCAGATTTCTTATTGGATGTCATCAATCGCTGTGAAAGAGAAATGAAGAAACAATCCAACACTAAGAGTAAGTGCTATCAAAACAGTATATACTCTTGGTATAATATTGTATCTCAAAATGTGATAAATTTGAGTAAAAACCATGGGCTATAGCCCATGTTTTTTTTCAAAAAATGGCTCCGAAATCACCCCAAATTTTTATTACATTTTCTGATACATATTGATGTACTTATGCTGTGTAGAAAGTTTGAGTTGATTCCGACTTTAATTTTTCAAGTTACAGCCATTTTAACAAATTTGCCAAAATCTGAAAAATACCCTATAGCCCATGGTTTTTTCCAAAAAATGGCTCCGAAATCACCCCAAATTTTTATTACATTTTCTGATACATATTGATGTACTTATTCTGTGTAGAAAGTTTGAGTTAATTCCGAGTTCAATTTTTCAAGTTACGGCCATTTTAACAAATTTGCCAAAATGTGAAAAATACCCAAGGCTATAGCCCATGTTTTTTTTCAAAAAAATGGCTCCGAAATCACTCCAAATTTTTATTACATTTTCTGATATATATTGATGTACTTATGCTGTGTAGAAAGTTTGAGTTAATTCCGAGTTCAATTTTTCAAGTTACTGCCATTTTAACAAATTTGCCAAAATGTGAAAAATACCCAAGGCTATAGCCCATGGTTTTTTCAAAAAATGGCTCCGAAATCACCCCAAATTTTTATTACATTTTCTGATGCATATTGATCTCCTTATGCTACATAGCAAGTTTGAGCTGATTCCA